CATTTTAGATTTTCATTTACTTACGATTTTGCTGATGCCAACAATTTGCCTCAACCTTACCATTGCTACAAACAAACCATTAAAAAAACAACTTGCTACAAATAAACCATTGTTACTAAACAAACCATTGCTACAACAACTTGCTACAAACAAACTATTTAAAAAAGTACAAATACATAAATCATGATTCATCCAATCATTTTTTACTGGTACTTATAAATTAAAATCTATAACTTTATTAAGTACCTTGGCATTAAAGTTAACTCATATCTATCTTTTAAATCTTATTAATAAATTTATCATCAAAGTAAAGAACTCAACTGGCAAGCTAGTTAAAATCTATGATTTATTTTAACTAAAAATTTAGTATCTAAGATTTCTTTTAAGCTTATATATCCCTCTATAATAAAATTGTTTAAATTTCTGATGTTCTTTAATATATATATATTTTTGTTTCTAAAATACTTATACTATGTGAACTTAGCTGTTAAATTGTTTATTTTGGATTTTTTGTTTTCCATTTCATCATCATTAATCTGCAAGTAATTTAACTGTTCATCATTATTGATTAATTAACTGTTTGTTAATAACTTAACTGCTTGTCATCATTATTTTATAATATACGGTGAAAAATCTGTTAAATATCAATTCATAAAGTCATGGATCTTTCTTAAAATGTCTTTTTTATCTATTATACAAAAAGTTGCTTCTATATAATTTTGTTTTTACATCTATTTTTTTATTTCTTTACTTTTAAAATTATTGTTACCAGCTTTATTAATACAGTAATTATTTTTTTACTATTATTATATCTTTACTTCATTTTTTATTGTTTTTGTTGTTTTTGCAATTGTTTTACTACTAATATTCTATTCTCTTTGTGTTACATTAACACATCATTTTGGTTGGTGTATTTAATGTACTTTGAATGATTTCATTTATCTACATGTAAAAATTATTTAAAATTATACACAGAATTATAAACAGAAATTTTTTTAGTTCTTAAAACTTTTTATTTATTGTTTTTTTATATTTATAGAACTGTCAAGTACTGTTGAATATACTAGCAGGATATCAGATTTTTTTTTAATAAATGATGATGAATATTTTGAAGAAGAAATTAGTGTGTTTATGTTTAATAATTTTACAACATACTTTGATAATATAATATTGAACTTTCAAGAAATTTGGCTTCAACAAGTATTTATAAAAGGCAGTTTAGTTTCAGATAAAAGTGATTCATGTTCCAATATAACAATGCAGCTTGAAAACTATGCAGAGGTAGTTGAAACTAAATGGTGTGACTCTGTAAATTCAAATGAGAATTTTTCTAGTCCTGATTTAACACTGTTGATTAGTCACCTGCTTAAAGTTGTAAATTATGCTAAACCCTTGACAATCATAGTTGAGTTTAATGGTGTTGTTTTGCAACCAGGAAGTGTTTTAGTAATTACATACTTGTTGCCTAAACCCTGTAAGAGCTTAGTTTTCTTATTAATTATTACAATTTTTTATTATTTCTAAAAAATTTTAATGTTTTTAAAAATATATATATTCTTGTAAAAATCTTAATAATCTATAGACTTATTTCTGTTATTTATATTTATAAACTTTTGAAAACAACAAGTATACAACAGTTTAATAAACAATTGTATATAAGTAATAATTTTTATTTTATTTTCGGCTGAAAACATTAAAACAACTAATTTAAAACATGCACTTTGCATAGATTATGCAAATGCATTACAGCGAAAAAAAAAAAAGTATTTAAAATATTTTTAATTTACAGTTACTTTCATTCATGCAAGTGCAATTCAAAGTGATTCTCAAGATTTGCTGGAATCATTTTCTTTACCTGTTACTAGTTCATGTTTGTCATTTCAGTTTAAGTTTGGTGGAACAGGATTTGTGAGTCTTGTTGTATTAGGTTATACCAAACAGATTACAAAAGAATTAGCTTTTTTCTATCGACGAGAGGGTCTTGACCAATGGATTAGCACTTTTATCAGTTTGCAAAATCATGACCATGTTTTATCAGTAAGCATATTAATCTTCTAAAAATTAATGAAATATTTTATTACATTTTAATATATTTTAAAATAGTATGTTTCTATTAAACTAAATATTTTTTTGATTTTAAATTTAACTAGGTAAAGTTTGTGGCTTTAAAAAATGGTCTTGGCATTGGTTACATAGCACTTGGCACAATACAGTTTTTAAGTTGTGATAAACTAGGGGAAAAGGAACTTACTGGTAATTTATATATTTACATTAACAATTTTTGTTCATTTTTGGAACCCTTGTCAAGGTGATATTTTATTTATATGAAAGAGAAATACAGTTAATTCTTGGTAAGTTGAACACCAGTTAACTCAAAGTTTTATTATCATGGAAGTGTTTTATTATCATAGAAGTGTTTCCTTTAAAATTTCTTATTGATTACTATTAAGATTCTCTGGTTAAATCAAACCTCAGTTAACTCAAACTTTGTTAAGTTAAACCAATTTGTAATCACCATGCATCAAGTAACTTGATAGAAGTTTGAGAAAATAAAAAACTTGATTAATTTTTTTAATTAGTCAAGTCATTTCAAATTAAAATTAAAAACAATTTCCTAATATTTTTTTTTTTTTTTTTGAGAAGGTTAACTTGATGTATGTTAAGTCATAAATTTTCTTCACGAAACGTTTTCAATATAAAATTGTTAAATTGTTCTTAATATAAGATTGTTTGCTTTTAGATGCAATTGTGTCATTAAGTTGCTAAATTATTTTCAATTTCTTTTGAGTGAATAAATATGTAACTACTTATTCTGAAACATTTTTCAGTTTTTTTTCAGTATAATGGTGTATGTGTAAAGTTTATACTTTTGCATTAAATAAATAAAAATCACCTTAACTCAAACTAATATCTCATATTAGCCAAAGTTTGACTTAATAGAGATTTGCTTTAGTTAAACATTTGTCTCCAAGGGACTAAGTCAAATTTTTTGCCATAGTCCCTTTGAGGTTACAATTATCAGGAATTAACTGTAACAAAATATTAACACCAGTAATATAAAGCTGTAATAAGGGTGTGTATAAAGGTGAAATTCTTTTAAATGTAGAAATATTAAAAAAAGGTAAAATTTCGAGAAAATAAAAATAAAAAATAAATTTTAAAATAAAAATTTCATTTAAAGAATTAGAAAAGTATTTCTTGAAATAATTATTAATTTTTATCTCCAATACAGTTTATATTAAAACTGATTCCTTGATTATTTAATTTTTTTATTGGTAAGATTTATTTTAGTAGTGATAATGAATATTTTTGGTCATTCATATCTTACTCAATCTGAGAAGAAAAGTTTTAAGATATGTCAAATATAAATTTAGATACATAACATTGATAGTATTGATTAACTATTTTAGCTCTTAGACTTTTTAAAGTGGAGAAATAAAAAAAAAAATTAGTTTAAGAAGGTTAACTTGATGTATGTAAAATCATAAATTTTCTTCACGAAACGTTTTCAATATAAAATTGTTAAAAAGGCAGACCTAAATGATTTTTTTAATAAACTTCATAAAAAGATGGCATATAACTTCTGAAGTAAAGTTTTTATTTAAAATATAAGTTGTAATAATAGGAGTCTAAATATTGCTTATTTAATTTTTTTTTTTTTTTTTTTTTTTTTTTCTTTTTATCTTTATATTTAACCATTAAATTTAAAAAATTACTAAGTTATTTATAATTTTACAAAATTAGGTTTGGTGTCATTAGAGTGACTTTAATAAAATAAACAAATAAAGCAAAAAAAGTAATATAGATATAGATAGTGACCAAAATAAAATAAAACAAATTAAAAAGAAGAGCAATAATATTTGAAAAAGCAAGACAAATAAGGCACAAAAAAAAAAAAAAAGAACTGACATTAGAAATAACGAATGAATGAGATAACACAATGTTTGACAATCAGAAGCATTCTGATCTGAAAAATCAAATAAAAAAAAAAACAAAAACAAAAAAAAAGTATTTAAATATTATGAGACAAAAATTTAGAAATCACTTGAACAATTTTAACTGTAATTTAAATAACTTAATGACTATAGTATTTTTTAAATACAAGAAGGTTAACTTAATGTGTGCTAAGTCATAAATTTTCTTCACCAAATGTTCTCAATATAAAATTTTTTAAAAGGCAGACCTGAATAATTTAATAAAATCCATAAAAAGATGGTTATATTTTAACTACTAAAATGGTTATATTTTAACTACTAAATGTTTTTATTTAAAATATTTATTTTAATAATAGACGTCAAATTTATTAATTTTTTTTTATTTGCAAAAAAACTGTATGGATTTAGTTGAGTAAAAAAAGTTGACAAATGCACTTCTAATTTCTATATAGTATAAATATATATACAAGCACACAATTAGACAATTTTTAAATAAATTTAATTGGCAACTCTTGGAACATTCTTGATTGCACAGTAATTGGTTTAAAGGCATTTAAATTATTAGATTTAATAAAAAAAAATATAATAAAATAATAAAAGTATTTATTGCTGCCTTAACCCAAACCCTAAGTTGATGTAGCAACACTCCCTTGGGTTTTCTACGTGGATAATCAATGTATGTTCTTAAGTCCCCACACACAGCCCCTACCTATATTAGTATGATGTCATTAGTGTATCTAATGCTACATTTATTTAGGAAATTTTGCTCAAAATTTCCAAAAATTTTCAAAAAAAATAATAATTTAATTTTACTACTTTACTCTTAGAAAATAAACAAAAATGCAAAGAATACACTTATTCTTTTTTATATTTAGATACTTTATCTAAAAGTACATAAAAATGGAAAAGCACAAATACAGTTTTGGGATAATTTGATTAAAACTTCTTAAAAAAATATAATAAAATAATAAAAGTATTTATTGCTGCCTTAACCCAAACCCTAAGTTGATGTAGCAACACACTCTTGGGTTTTCTACGTGGATAATCAATGCATGTTCTTAAGTCCCCACACACAGCCCCTAGCTATATTAGTATGATGTCATTAGTTTATCTAATGCTGCATTTATTCAGGAAATTTTGTTCAAAATTTCAAAAAAATTTCAAAAAAAGTAATAATTTAATTTTACTACTTTACTCTTAGAAAATAAACAAAAATGCAAAGATTACATTATTTTTTTTTATATTTAGATAGTTCATCTAAAAATACATAAAAATGGAAAAGCAAAAATACAGTTTTGGGATAATTTGATTAAAACTTCCGGGAAAAAAAACTTTATTTTAATTTACTAGATAGTAAACAAAATTGCAAAGAATTATACACACCATAAGTGGCATCTACTACTGTTTATTCAAGAGGGAGCTGCTTCATACAAATCAAAACTGAAGGGTAGGAGGGTGGGGAATTGTAATTTTTACTATCATAATATAATGAAATAATAGGTCTTTAAAAATGTTAATGCTTAGCCATTTTTGATGGTATGTGAAAATCAACACTGTAATCACTTAAATATTCACTTTCATATTCATCATCATTATCATTGAGTGCTGTATCATTGAAGATATGGCTTATATTGCTTTTATTGTCAATCTTTTTATTCACTGGTTAAATTTAACCAGTCTATTCTGTATTTTCAAAGTATAAGCAAAAAATAATAACTTTGATGCTCTTGTACTAGTTAAACAATTTCGCTTTTTAGTTTTTTGCAAAGAAAACTCTTTGTTTGCACACTCAGCAGATGCTGCAGCTACAAGACAATAATATCAACGCCACTCTGCTCAATAATGTTGTAGATCCATATACTTTCCACCATATAACTGGGTTACACTCCACACTAAGTTTCCAAATATAACTGCAACTATCCTGGCTAAATATTCCACTACGAGCTTTAAAATTCATTAATTTATCCAATATAACATCAGCAGCTAGTGTTTCATTTTCAGCTATTCTTAATATATGCTGCTTAGCTCATTTCTGAATGATTTAACTCTTTACCAGCAAATCTGGGATCAAGCAAATTAGCTGCAAAGTGTAATGGTCTAATGACAAAGACTAATGAGTACTTGCTTTTTTAACGCAAGTAGTAATACTCTCTTTTTCTTGTAAAGTATGTAGTGTTGAGTTTTGCAAAACATTAGATATATCAGCTTTGACATATGAAAAAACTTACAATCAGTGTCTATTGTGCTACAATAGACACTGATGGTGTATCATAACTTTAATTCCAAAATAGCCTCTGATACAGGTTTTAGTAGTTTGTAACTAAATCTGTCCTTTTCCAGAATAATTCATTTAAAACAAACTCTTCAAGGTTAATTCCCTTTTTATTGTGTTTTTCAATATGTTCTTGTGCTTTTTCATCAGTTATTGCCAATCGCAATGAGTCACAAAGATGCAAATTGCGCTGTAACATTGAAAATTGAGATGACCATCTTGTTACAACAGGAAGAATTAAAGTTAAATATTTTTTCAGAGAATGTAGACTACAGCGCTCAACGATACTCTTTAAAATATGTTTGTTTTTGAAAAACTTAATTATTTGTTTATTTTGTTTTAGTGTTTCAAAAATGATGTTGTTCTTCTTTACTAGGTCACAAGTTAATAAATTTAGACCGCGAGAAAAACAGCCATATGTTGACATTCAATCATATTTATTCTCAATCAATTTTAAAACAGCCACCATGGCTGATGCATTGTCAGCGCAAAAAGCTTTTATTTTTCTCTTGTTTGATATAACATTTTGATCTTCAATAACCTCAACCATTTAATTAAATAGGTATTGTCCAGTATGGGAGTTTTCTTTTGGATGAATAGTTTTTATGTATATTGAACTTGGAGTAGGTAAAAAATCTGTATGTGTGAATCATTATTTATACAAGACCAACCATCTATCATGAGGACAAATGTTTTTGCCTGGGATATCAGTTCTTGTTTGAATTTATTTACTTCATCATATACTGTGTCTAAAAGATCTTGACTAAGAGCATAACATTTGGGAGGTGACCAACCAGGTCGAATCTTTTCAAAAAAGTTAATCCAAAATGTATTTTCTAACATGTTGAAAGAGCTGGTTTTTGCGTAAATTGCTTTTGCATATTGTATATTTATTTTATTGCGCTCTTGTGCTGACATTTTTAAAAAAAAATATGATATAGAGGTTTTTGATTGATATAGAGGTTTTTGATTGAGAGGTATAATAGAGGTTGAACTGACAGCCTTTTCTGAAGATTTTGAAAAAGAGCACTCTTGGAGATCAGAATGTAAGTTATTAGCAACCACACTTATTGTGGAATTGGTGCCTACTTTTTTTACAAAACTGGTAAGGTTGTTGTCACACAAATTGCTTATTAAACTTGGCACACCTTCATTATTACTTGTATTTGTGTCAGTTCAGATAAAGATTTTACAAGTATTATTCCACTTTTAGTTTTAGGCGCAAAACCCTGTTTTAAAACATCAGCTCTAAATTTTGTTTTTACAAACTTTGATGGTTTAGGACAATCTGTAACTAAATGTTTTTTAGCCCAAGTGGAGTTTGGTGTGAAACACTTTGCATTGCAGTATGTGCAAACAAGTGCTGTTTTTCCATCATTGCATATTTTTATTTAAAATGTCTATTCCAGACTTAGTCAAATTCGCGAGGCATATTTTAATATTGATACTGAAAACATAATTTAAAAAGAAAGTACAATTTAAAAGATACAATTAATCAATTTAGTTTACATAGAATCATTCTATGCAAACTTTCTAAGTAACTATCTTTTTAAAATTCTAAGAATGCAAACCTAAACTATAGTTTATATGCTATATTATTATACCAATTTGTTGTTTATAGTCATTATAATTACTATACAATTATACATATAAATTATAATACCTATAAATAAACACACGTACACACACACACACGGACACATAAGTGTGTGTGTGCATTTTGTTATAACAACGTATGTTATAACAAAATGCACACACACACTTATGTGTACATTAATTTATACAATGATTATATAAATAATTAGTGTCGTTGTTATTTTTACCATTATTATCATGATAATAACCTATTAATAATAATTATTAAACAAGAAAAATAAAACATAAATGTTATCATTATAACTATAGTTATAATAGTATCATTTACGTTTAGTACTAAGCAAAAATTATATAATTATATGTTTTGTTAAGAACCACTAGTAATACTCTTACTATTGCATAAGTGAATATTTGGTATTAAAAACCTTTATTTCAAAAATTTATTGATTTTATATTGATAATATATTCCTTATTAAAAAAAGTAAAGTAATGGTAAACAACACAAAAATATGAAAATTCAAAAAAAAATTCAGCGCAATTATTTAAAAATTTCCAGAACTTTTCAGGAAAATTTTCATCACTAATTTATACATATGGACAACGATGTATATATATATATATATATATTTATATATATATATATATATATATATATATATATATATATATATATATATATATATATATATATATATATATATATATATATATATATATATATATATATAATTTTAAATAAAATAATTTTTTTGTTTTTGCTAAATTTATGATATTTTGTATTCCAGTAGATTTGATTAACAAACTTTTGTTTAGCTGTAGATATTGAGAGTGGCTCAACATACTTGAATAATTCGCTTTTTTTTTATCCTGCAATCTATGTTAGAGGATCTTCTGAAGTGTTTGCAAATTTTCCTAACTCTATATTCACATCAGATGATAATAACATCTTTTTACAAACTATATACGGTTACACTGAAGAAGTTTCAAAGAAAACACTTAATTTTTTAGAAGTTAATTTGAATAAAGATTTTACATTTACATTTTGGTACCAAGTTAAAAATTCACCATACGAAATTTTAAGTTTCATATATGATAAAGAAATAAAGATTTATCAGGAAACCTATTTAATTAGGTGAATAAATAAAAATGTTTTTTTTGTTTTTTTCTTTTTTTACCTTATAAGCAATTTAAAAAAATTAGATTTTGTTGAGTTAAATATTTTAAAAATATCTTTATACATTTAGAATGAGTGTTAATGGTCAAGACCAAAATGTTAACATAAATCAATTGTTACAATGGCATTACATTGTTGTTCAGTATGAGCGAAAGTTTTTAAAGCTTTCGTTTGAAGTGGATTTTAGCGTTGTAAATATTTATTTTTGTTTATTTTAATAAGTATTTATGTTCAAAAAAGTCATTTTATGAAAGAATATTTTTATATACTTTTGAAAGGTTTTAATTTCATTTTTGAATGTATATTTGAAAATGTAAATATAATAAATGTTTTGAAAGAAAATTTTTGTTTAACTAGAGTACTGTTTATGATGGAATTCAATTTCCACAAATTTCAAGACTGAAGATTGTTTTGCAAAATAGTATATTCTGTTTTCAAATGTATAAAGAAGTATTGTTTCTTTCTGCTTTGAAAGCAACAATGTTATGTATGAAGACAGGTAATTTATTCTAAGTTTTGTATTATTTTGCTAATAATATTATTAATGTGTAAATATGAAATCTATTTAAATCAAATTAGTGAAACTTGTATCAATTTCTTCTTATATTTTCTCTAGTAAAATAAGATTTTTTTTTCTCTGAAAAATTATGGTTGATATTGTTTATGGTTTTACTTATAACCAAATATATTCATAATAAGTTACAAAAGAGATGGGGAAAATATCAATAATGACATTTATTCTGCATTTCCTGGATTTTTTGTAATTTTAAATAAAGCTCATAATTATTTGCAGATTGTTTTTGTTTTAAAAACTATATACATATATTTATATAAAATAATATATAAAGATAGAATATAAATAATATAAGGTATTACTAAGCCAAAATATTATGCATGTCCATAATGTTTGGTATCTTTATAGCATAAGGAGGTTTTATTTAATTTTTGAAATTTTGGTTTTAGTTTGTTTTTAAAGAGCATTTTATATGGAGAAAAATGTTTCAAGCTACAGTTAATATGAAACAAAATGTTAATTTTTTTTAATTTTTGAAATTTTGGTTTTAATTTGTTTTTAAAGAACATTTTATATGGAAAAAAATGTTTCAAGCTACAGTTAATATGAAACTAAATGTTAATTTTTTTTAGTGGAAAATGCATGCACACAAAAAAAAAGTAATTGTGAATGGTGTAATCCATTATATGGTGAATGGGAATTGTATCCATGGGAATACATTTTTGACAAAAATGGTGATTGTCTCCAAGGTGAAAATAAAAATATTTACTTATAATAAAATATTTTATAATTACACTTTACAATAAAAAATTATAAGTTACTAATGTTTTAAAAATAGAAAATAATAAAAAACAATATTATAACAACAAATGTGTTAAATTTTTTTAGTAATAAAGTCATAAAATAAAAAATTTATTTTTAACCTTTTTATTTAATTAATATCTCTTATTTTATTATTTATTAGCATTTCTTAAATATGTGAGACAACTAAACTGTTAAATATATTACAACTCTTTCTTTTTGAATAGTAATATTAAAATAAATATTTACAAAAAAAATTTGAATGGTACCTTCAGCAAAGATGTTTAAAAAAAAACTGAATTTTTTTTTAGCTTTAGTAGACCTCTTACCTTAACTTTACCTTATCTTAAGTTTTTAATTGATACCGTATTATTGTTGGCTATATATTGTATGCTGAATGTGAAGTCTATAATAAGTGCAGATAATCACAACATTTTTTAACATAAAAAATTAAATAAAGATGTCTTAAAACTTTTATGCATCTGCATATAAAAATGACTATTTTAAGATATATGAAGACAAAAACCCAAAATCATGAAACCTTTAATTAAAGGAAAAATGATAAAGCAATTTGAACAAAAATAATTTACTAAATTATTATAATATATAATTGCGAATCTATTTTTAAAAGTCTATTTATATCAATTCTGTCATAATATTTGATAGAGATACATTAACATAGCATTAAGTAAATGATTATTTTTTGAATTTTTTTTTAATGTTTTTTAGTCAACGTTTATAGCAACTAATTAATTGAATTAGATGTCATGTAACTTTTTTAAACAATTTATTGTAGCAAACTTTTTTTGAACAATACACAGTTGTTAATTATTTATTTATGGTTTTATGTATTATATGTATGGTTTATGTAATTATTCATGTATAGTTTGTACAGTGGTTGTTCAGATTTGTTGATACTAATTTAGTTAAATCCAGTTTCTTCTTGAATGAATATAAACTTTCTTCTTGAATGAATATAAAGTAGATGCAATAAAGTATTAGGATTCTTTACCTCTATATTTTATTAGCTTTTAAGATATTAGATGTTGATTTAATGAATTTAAATAGTTATATTTTATTTTTATTTTTAGTTTTAGATGACTTTAACAAAACTTTCTATCAATCATTTAACAACATTATCAATGAAAGTTTTGTGGCTGACAACTCTGATGGTTATGAAGTTAAGTTATCAGCAGAAGTTAAACCTGTCTTGGGTTTTGTTAATAATGGATTGTCAACTGAGTCTAATTATGTTGTTGTTGCTAATCAAGATGTTACTAAATATTTAAGTAAAAGTTCCTATATGTTTTCAGCTTGGGTTAAACACACCTGTGAAATTAGAAATCAATACAAGCCAATTATAAGTACTTCACTTGTTGTGTTGCTTTGTGGTGTTATAGATACAAATGTTCTTACTTTTAAACCAACTTTAGTTTTTCATGATAATTGTTTGTACCCATTACCTGGAAAGTCTGGTTTGTGGTATAACTTTGCATTTGTTTTTAATAAAACTATTTCAGTTTACATTGATGGGCAACTTGTTTCAAAAAAAGAGTGCTTAGGCAATGCTTTACCTTTTAAAGACATCACAGAAAAAAATGATGTACGCGTGTGGAGTTTTGATTTTAATGCTACTTTGTTAGATGAAGTATTTATTGGAGATGTTGCTCCTGAAACGTTGTTCTGGAGGCAGTTAACAGGTTTTTAATAGACTTGTTTGTAAAGAAAGATAATAGTTTAAAGTTTAATGAGTTCTGAAAATATTTAGCAAATTTTAATTTTCTAAAATTTATTATTTTAAAAAATAACTTATAAAAATAGTAAAATAGTTAATTTATGTTATTTAATTTTATGCATTGTTAATTTATGCTATTTAGTATATATATATATATATATATATATATATATATATATATATATATATATATATATATATATATATATATATATATATATATATAACTAAATATATATATATATATAACTAAATATATATATATATGTATAAATATATGTATATATATATATATATATATATATATATATATATATTTATATATATATATTTATATATAGTATATGTATATATATATATATATATATATATATATATATATATATATATATATATATATATATATATATATATATATATATATATATATATATTATTTTTATTATTATTATTACTATTATATATAATTTCTTCGATATTAAAGGTAATTTGAATTTTGAAAAAACTAAACAAATGACAAAACCTTTTCGATTCTACTTAACCTCGCAAGAAACTTGGGTTTATGAGACAAGTTTCCATGGTAGTTATCTGTATGAAAGAGTTGTTACAATTTTAGAACCTCAGGTTTTTTTTTTCTTTTTTCAGTTTTATTTTTAATAAAATATGCTTATTATTCTCAAAAACATTATAAGAAAAATATCATAAAAAATGTCTCATAACAAAATAAAGTTAAAGTTTTCACATTATATTTTTTAATGGAAATGCAAATGTGTAATATAGAATTTTTTTTCAAAACAGATTAGCATAATATTGAATGACACAGATACTGTTATAAAAATTAGTAAAAATAAGCCATGTTTTAGATATCTAAGTATAAAATTTAAATTTTCTTTCTTTTAATTTTTAAAATACTTAAGTTTTCTTTGTTTCATATTTACAGCTGGTAGTTTTTAAAAGTTGATTGTAAACAAAAAAATAGTAGAAGTAAGAATATTAATTTAAGACAAATGGCTTGCAAAAAAGTATAAACTTCAAATAAAAACTGTCTATCATATTATCATTTAGTAAGAATTATTGCTTTTTATTATCATTATTTTTACTATTATTATTATTTTTGTTATTATTGCTATTATTATTATTATTGCTATTATTATTATTATTATTTATTATTATTATTATTATAATTATTATTGTTATTATTATTATTATTATTATTTGTGGATTTATTGCTTATTAATATTACTTTATATTATTATTATTATATTATTTATAATAACAAAAATAATAATAATAATAGTAATAATAATGATAATAAAAAGCAATAATTCTTACTAAATGATAATATGATAGACAGTTTTTATTTGAAATTTATTATTTCAAACACTGTAGGTAGTTTTAAAAAGTTGATTGTAAACAAAATAAGTATAAATTAATTTTAGAAGAATTGGCTTAAAATTTATTCCAGCTAATTTTATTACTACATTGCTATTGATTATTACTTCCGCTATTACAGTGATTAGATTTTTTTTAAATTGAAATTTTTAGATATATATAGATATATACAATACTGAATAAGTTGCTTGTTTTTGCCGTTTGAAGTAGATTTATTGGTTACTGCAACTGGTATATTTTTCTGCTTTGATTTTATGATTTTATTGAAAAAATCTAGTAAACTGAAGTTTCTTGTTTTTCAACTATGCTTTGTGTATTCTCACAATATATATAAGTATTCAACCAGTTATATCAAACACAAAATGAGTTTATCATAAATTTACGAGAGGCATTTTAAATTGAAATATCAATATCAATCATTTCCATCTTGGCAATTTAGACAATAAACAAAGACAATGAACAAAAAAAAAAAAAAAAAAAACACAGCTTGAAATATAAAGATAAACTGTAAAATTAAAGAAAAAAAAAATACTATAATAATTTTGGCCTTAATTGACAGAAGAAAAAAAACACTTCTAAACAAATTTGTTTTATTTGAGTTAATAAGGTATTATTGAAAAAATACATATTTGAAAAAAAACTCTAGATACAATTATGAAATGACTAATGCAGTTAAAGGCGCTTGCATAATTTTATAATAAACAAAGATCAAAATTGATCTTCGTGTGTTTCTATCAGAATGTTTAAAATAGGAGAAGTCATAGTGCTGACATAATTCAGACATTGCAATTCCATTGTGGCAACATAATTCAGTTTTTTAAATTTTATAAAGGTATAGACAAAATTGATTGGCATCATCCAAATAAAAAAGCAATTATAGAAAATACCTCATGGACACAAGGACACGACTAAAAAGCTTCCAAAGGGATGATTCCAGTACAGCAAGATACAACTTGTTTACCAACGATTAATTAACATGTGGAATCAATGCTTTCAAAAAACTTTTTGATAAATTCAAGTTAAAGCCTAATATATATATGTAAGGTTCCAGTATATAAATACCACAGCATAATTTATTATTATTATTAATTCACTAGCAAAAAATAATAAAATTCTTATGTTTATTAGATTATCATATTGTAAATTAAAGTTTGCGGATTAAAACTTGTTCAAGTGATTAGAAATGTTGATGCAAATCTAAAGAACTCTTTTTGGGATTTTGAAAAGAGTTTCCATGTCACCAATACATGAAATGGCAGAAGATGTGGCTACAAAACATATAGGAAATCCCTGGAAGATCAAACAGCAGTTCAACAAGCCAAAAACACACTTGAAAACTGCTACAAGAAAAGCTTCAAGAAAATTTATATATTATAATAGTTATTATTATTATTATTATAATCTTTATAAATAAAAACCTGCAAAAGATTTTATTATTCAAGTTGATTTTAGTGCAGAAGTTATACGAATTCATTAGATGTGGCACTATAGATCTGACTAAAAACAATGCTTGAAGTAGATGATTAATGAATTTGGTAATTTTTTCAGCCAAATTTCTTCAAGATGTTTTGATGGCAGATATCTTCAAGATGTTTTGACGGTTGATAATGTAAACAAGATTTTTCAGAGTTTATACAACGTATTCTATTTATACTAAATAAAAAATTACCAAGGACAAACTATCAATGTTAAATTTTCAAGATCAAACCATGTTTAAAACATTTAAATAAAATAGTACAGCTACATACTTAAACAACAACTTCAAAAAACAAAATTTTATTTTATTTTTCACTGTTTTTTTAACATTGGTGTCTAACTTTACTGTAACTATTGTATAAGGTAATATTCATCATATTTATAATCGAATATTTTGAAGCCTAAATACCACTGTGACTGTTTTAAGCATCATTTATATTCAAAGTTAAAAAAATACTATAAAATCCATGAAAACATTTTGAAAAAAGCCTGTATTTTGGGACATTGCTTGTTTTTACACTTACAAACAAACAGTTCAAACAATAGAGTTTGTATTAACTTCTTTCTTATACACTTCACCCAATATTTTTTACTTGCTCATTGTTGAAATTATAATGCATAATTGCCTTGTTCAGGTTTATTCTAAGTGTCTGACATTCTTATTTTAAAAGTTTTTTCAAGATCCACAAATCTTCATATCATTTTTCCCAAAAATCTAGTGCATCCCTGCCTCCTTCATTAATCTTTACTATTCAGTTTTTCTACCTATTATTTATGATATTTTTTTATGTACAGCTGCACTACAATGATCTGACTCCCAATAAACGCCAACATCCCTTTAAGCCTTTTACAGTTTTTTTTTAATTGCTAAAATTTATAAATGATTCACCTTTTTTTTACCTTAACTTCTCTTAATAGGAATTAATACAGCACTTAAAACAGCAGTATAACAGTTTTGTCTTGCACTAAGCTTGTACGACACAGGGGCTTGTATTGCACTAAGAAGTACAAGAGCCTGTTTTCTCTATTTGCATACTTTTTTTAGTTTTTTTGTTTTTTAAAGTTTTTTTGTTACTAACTAAATTTTACAGACCTGCATTTTACAATTAAGATTTTTTGCGACCCTTAGAAACACTTTATTTATCTGGCATTTCTATGCAAAATGTTTGCGTACTTTATTATCTAAAAGTTTAGCAACATTTTTTTTTTCATTATTTCTTAGATAAACACTTTTTCATTCTGTACTCTCTTAAACCAACATTCCGATTCATTTTTTCACAGTTTATTTGTTTAATCTGTCTCAATTTTAAAAAAAAAAATTACCAAAAAAAGTGTAAAATTTTTAAGATCAATTAAGTTAATGATCAAATGAAAAATAATTCCTGAATATATATATATATATATATATATATATATATATATATATATATATATATATATATATATATATATATATATATATATATATATATATATATATATATAAATATATATATATATATATATATATATATATATATATATATTTATATATATATATACATATGTATATATATATACATATATATATATATATATATATATATATATATATATATATATATATATATATATATATATATATATATATATATATATATATTTAGGAATTATTTTTCATTTGATGGTTGCTTGCAGCCTTGTTGGAAGCGAAGATGTTTAAAAAAAATATATATATATATATATATATATATATATATATATATATATATATATATATATATATATATATATATATATATATTTTTAAACATCTTTGCTTCCAACAAGGCTGCAAGCAACCACTAGTTAGTGTTGGAAGTTACTGGAAGAGAAAAGATGAAGATTGTAAAGCAAGATAACGAGTGACAGACGACTTAAGATTGCAAATTATATGAATCAGGAAAGCAAGATGAAGGAAGCAAATTCCAAAGAGCTGATGTTCGAGGAAAAAAACTAGACAAGTAAGAGTTTTTTGAGCACTTAAGAACAGTAACAGAAAAAGGATGAAACTTTATTGAATGACAAGTAACACGAGAATGAATTTTAGTAGATGGCACAAGAGACGCTAGCTCTTTAGAGCAGTGCTCATTATAGTATTTGTAGAAAAGAGAAAGAGAAGCAACATTACGATGATGTGACAGAGGTTGAAGGTTGGGTGCAAGAGCAGGTCCAATTATGTTTACGATACGTTTTTGCACCTTGTCTAAAAGAGAAAGAGCATTATTAGAAGATCCGCCCCAGATATGGCAACAGTATTCCATATAAGGCCGGATTTGAGATTTATAGAAATAGAGAATAGAATTCAGAGTAAGAAAATGTTGAGCTCGATAAAGAGAACCAACTTTAGCAGATGCTAATTTTGCAACAGATTTGATATAAGGTTTCCAAGAAAGATCAGAAGTAAGAGTTAATCCTAGAAGATGAAGGGTAGGAGACTGATCGAGTACATTACCGTTCATAAATATAGGAAGGTCTAAATTATTGAGATAACGATTGGCTGAAAAAAATTGAGTTTTATCTGAATTAAAGTTCACCAGCCACTGTGAGCCCCATGCTGTAGCAGAAGTGAGATCCTTTTCAAGCTCAGATGCCCCCTGCAAGCAGAGGCAAGGACAACTTTTATACTACGATTGAAAAGGAAGTATTCAATAATCTTAAAGACGTTTCCAGATACACCGTAAGAAAAAAGCTTATGGAGAAGACCAGCATGTCAAACTTTATCAAACGCTTTAGAAATGTCAAGAGCAATGGCCTTAACCTCTCCACCTTTATCTAATGCGCGATAAAACCTATCGGTTATTACTGATAGCAAATCAGCCGTAGAACGAAAAGATCAAAATCCATATTGATGATCAGAAAGTAGGTTATGAGATTCGAGATGAGAGATTAAGTGTTTGTTAATTAAAGATTCAAAAATCTTGCTTATGATAGGAAGAAGACTAATGGGACAGTAGTTAGATGAATTGGATTGCTCTCCAGATTTTTTAAAAATAGGGATAACAGATGCTGCTTTCTAGGAGGCTAGAAAACAAGACTCTGATAAGCACTTGTTAAATAGTTTTGAAAAGATAGACAATAGCTCCAGACAAAACTTCTGCAAGACTATAACAGGTATGTTGTCCGGGCTGCAAGCTGTAGAAGAGTCTAAGCATAAAATTACTTTAGATACAGAAGCTGGAGTGATGCGGATGTCGAGCAATGGATCAACCTGTTTGACGGCTATATCAGGTAGAACACAACTAGTGGAATCAAGAGATGATATTGATGAAAAGTTCTTGGCAAACAATTCAGCTTTGCCTTTAGGTGAGGTGACAAAGTCTGAACCATACAAAAGAGGAATTACAGACTTGCCCTTATTATTGATACTAATAAAGATTCTCCAGAAGTCACGAGAGCCTAATTTTTGTGATGAAATACAAGATTTCATGGTCTGAGAATAGCGGGCTTCGGCGTTAGACAAAACCATTAAACAATGGTTCCTAGCAGTAATAAACAGACGTCTGTTTTCTGGAGGATTGTTTTGCTGATAGATATGGAAGTAATGGTTTCAATTGGCAATTGCAGCAGCACAATGTGAGGAAAACCATGAAGAGGAGTGAGGCTTGACCTGGAATTATCGAGAGAGAATTAAGGATTTCATGCCAGCCTGAATCCATGAAGTTATGTAAGAAGCACATTTGTCAACAGGAAGACAAAAGATATTACCCAGGGGCCATCACGAAGAAAATTACGGAAAGAGTCCCAGTCAGCTTTAAGGTAGTTGTAAGATGTACAACAATAGGGGGATTCTGATGATAGAGAAGAATGAGATAATAGCTTTAGAGAGACCAAACCATGATCAGAAGCACCTAAGGGTGAGTGTGGAGAAACTGAGCACTGACTAGGATCAGAAACAAGACTTAAGTCGAGTAGAGAAGGTAAATGATTTGGGTTGTCTGGAAAGCGAGTTGAAAGTTGACTATTTGAATTAGGGATTTAGAAAGGCAAAAGTTGTGGGCCTGAATGCCTGCAGAGTTACTGACACTAGAGCTTAGCCATTCTGTGTGATAAACATTAAAGTCACTGACAACAACAATATTGGCTGATGGATAAAGAATGAGGGCTTGGTCAATATAATCAGAAATAACATCAAGAAGAGTGCAGTCTTGAGATGAAGGAGAGCGATATAGAACAAAGAGAAAGGTAAAGTGGTGCTAAATAAAAGCACATAAAAGAGTAGTCTGTGGATTCAAACCTAGTTTCCTGACAAATGGGTGAATTCTTACGAATGTAAATGCCCAGGCCATGCATGTGACTATTGGAGTCTTTACGAATTAAAGGAAGATAACCATCAACACTAAGATCACAAGATGAGATAGAAGAACTCAAATTAGTCTCACAAAGAGCAAGTAGGTCTGGTGAACTTTGCAAGAGTTAAGAGTCAACAGAAGAAAATTTACTTCAAAGACCACGAATATTGGTGAATGAGAGGTTTATCGAACTTGGTGATGACTGTGGTTTTTTGTGTTTTATAGTTTTTGTTACTTTATTCATTTTTATATTTGTTAAAGACTCGAAACATAGATAGTACTCAGTACACTGTTTTATAGCCCAAGCAATTTGATATAAAAACAAAAATTTTAAAACTAGAGTTGCTAATAAAAAATCAAGAAGCAATTTTGATTGAACTATATATTTTAAATTAGTAATTTTCACTTTTTTTCATTACTTAAAAAGTTGTTAATAAACAGGTTTTGTGCAAAAATTTTGTAATTACTATTTATGATAAAATGGCTTTCATTTTTATACACTTTTTTCAATTTAAAGATAACAGATCTGTTTCGCTTATCAATCAGAGAGTTTTTATTAATTGAAGTTATATCGATGCAACTGATTCAAAGGTACCTTATTTTTTATTCTAAAAAATGTTTAATGAAATTGCTTGCAATTGTTTATATTTACTTCTTGTTTGTTTTTATTTTAAAGCCAAAAAGTTATTTGTAATTTGGATATTTATCTTGCCGTTCAAAGTAAAGAGGTTTTTCAAAAGATTGCGGAAACTTTGAATAAATATATTCAGATTTTGTTAGGTATTTTGTATACTTGCAAGAAATAATTTTAAAATTCTAGTATTTTTGTTGATGTATTTTTTTATTTGTTAAAAAAAGTAAATATATACTAACAAAAAGATAAATATAAGCTAACATTATTTTGACTAAATAATTTTGTTTAATTTTTTCTTAGGTTTACAAACATTAACATTTTCAGAAAATTCACTTATTACTTCAACTAATGATTTGTTTGTTGATCAAACAAAATCTGACGAATTACTTGGTAAGAATTTGTAAAGTTTAGTAACTTTGTCAAAGAATTTTTTTGGAATTTTAATTTGAAATTATTTTTTGTGAGTAAATTGAAATATGACAACCAATCTAGTTTATAAAAACTAAACAGTATCTTTATTATCAGACAGTTCTAATTAAATTATTATTAATAAATAAATTACAATTAATATTTTTAATAAAATTATATAAATTATTTATTTTATTTATAGTAATAATATTAATAAAGTTAAATAAATTAAAATTAATATTATTAATAAACAATACCCGCCATCAAAACTCACTCTCACTTGACTCATGATTCAGCAAAATCACATCCCTTAACTGTATCAGTCCCTTCATGCTTTAAAAACTTTATCAGTTTGATTTTTTTTCCTCGAACATGCAAAGGAGTGCCACTGCATCATCTAGGAATACGGCTAATGTATATACATATACACACATATATACATATACATATTGTTGTTTTTGTTGTTGTTATAATTATTATTGTTTATGAATATGTTTTAGACAACAGGCGTATACAATTTATAGGCATATATTATTTAATCATTATAATTTTGCCACAGAGAAACGCCATATAAACAAATGCAGTATGATTTAAACAATTTAACCTTTACTCTGGCTGAGCATAAATGAAAGTGTCAAGTTAGAATATTTGTACATGTGTAAATTCACTTTCTTGATTATATAAAGATCATCGGTTAGGTCATTTTTTATTATATATGACCAAGGTATTTAAAAAATTCAACAAAAGCAATTTTACAGCCTATTGAGGAAGGAGTTTGATATAATTTTTGATTTTTGAGTTGGATTAAACACCATACATTCTTGGTACTAAAGGTCATTAAATTTAATTAAAGTAGAAATTATTAGAAGTTACTTTATTTGTAAAATTAAGCAATTTTTTAAGAGTAAACCAAGACGGTGCAAGTAGAACCATTTCATCTACTACTGTTTGACAGTTTTATGGAAAATACATATGATAATGTCATATTCTTCTCTTTTTAAAACACAATAACATTTATACAAAAGCATAATATTGATCACTAATTTAAAACAACTTTTAGGGAAAAATAATAAACTTCAAATTTATTATTCCTGGTTGGAATGATATCAAAGACAAACATGAATTGCTATAGATGCATTTAAACGCTGGATTCTACATAAAAAGCTAAAATAATGTTTTTGAAAAAACTTCTGCCACTTGAACTTGCTCTTTAAAACTTTAAGAGACATAATCAACAAACAAAAGCACAAATAATATGCACAAACAAATCTTTTATTACTTAGATCCAAAAGTTTTTAGAGTAGTGTAAATTGTATTCATAGCAAAAAATTATTTTGCTAATGCTTATAATATAATAACTTATAATATGTGAATAAAAAACTTTTAAGCAGTGTATAATTTAATTAAAATTTCAAAGTAAAAAGCACAAGATACTGTGAAAATACAGTTATGTAAACTGGTAGATATTTACATAAGTATCAATGAGGTTTTCAAAGCAATCAAAAATTAAAAATCAGAAAAAGCAGCTGTTCCTTGTAGTTTATGTATGGGAGTCTTTATCTGCTGTGGAAATTTTTCATAATTTTTTCCATAATTACTATGTTTTTATTTTTTACTCAAGACATGAGTTTTTATTATCTAAGTTCTGAAAATTCTCTATTATTTCTCTAGTCTCTATTATTTCATCATTGTTCATTTATTAAACAATTATGTTTCAGACTTCAATAACAAATGCAAGACAAAATTCTCTTTGCATGAAATGTAAATCTTGTTTTTCTACATGTAATGGAATTCTTGTTTACAAGATTTCTCTTGTTCTTGTTATTTAGAATTAACTATGATAAAAAATTTAAATAATTTTTTTTTTGTTTACAACTTTTGAAAAAAATTATGCTACGAAAGAGAGAAAAAATAAATTGTTATGTATCTTTTTTAAAACAGTTTTCTAATATTTTTTAGAATATTACTCAAAGTTTGCATCTTATGAAGTGCTTCTTCAAAATAAAACATTTGTTGTGATCTCATTAAAGCTTTTTGAAGATGTAAGATATCCTATCAGTACAGCTTTTATCCAATGGAAACAAAAAGGTGGATTTGACACTAATCAAATTTGGTCTAACCAAACTAATTTTATTAAAATCAGTCCTTTAAAAACTTTTACTGAGTATTATATTTGCTTCGCCTTCACAACAAATAGAAGGAAGATGAGTTTGTGCACCGAGCAATCTAAAACATTTATGACTGCCGAAGGAGGTTTTTTTTTTATTTATATATATATATATATATATATATATATATATATATATATATATATATATATATATATATATATATATATATATACATAATATATATATATATATATATATATATATATATATATATATATATATATATATATATATATATATATATATATATAGATATATATAGATATATATAGATAGATATATATATATATATATATATATATATATATATATATATATATATATATATAATATATATATATATATATATATATATATATATATATATATATATATATATATATAAATATAAAAATAGATATAGATATATATATATATATATATATATATATATATATATATATATATATATATATATATATATATATATATATATATATATATATATATGTATATATATATATATATATATATATATATATATATATATATATATATATATATATATATATATATATATATATATTTATGTGAGTGTATTGTGTGTATCTATTAGCCCATCCCATTTTGACCCTCATGAACAAATTTTAATACAGGAAGTGTTGCAAAATATTCCCAAGGTATTTTTTATTTTAGATGACTATTTATACTTGCGCCACTCTTTTAAAGTTAAACATTTTTACATTTTTTGAGCTTTTACAGGCATTTTCAAGCAATCTACGCAAAAAAAATTTACAAATCGTTAACTATATAATAATGTCAATGGAAGGTTTTACCAATTGTGCGCATTTTTATTACTATTACTTTTGTTAACTGAAAATGCTTAAATTTTAAATTCGTTATGAAATTTAAAAAATGTGGTTTTTAAACATGATAGCGTTGAGGCCCAATACAAAGCAATTAGAAATTTGTTAGATGCTTTTTATCTCATACAGTTTAACCACTTCAAACCCTGGCTATTTAAAAGGAATCTGTACTAGATTAGTTAAGTTTCCTGGCCGACCATTATTTAGGCTAACCTCCTGCAAACATGTAGGAGAGCTTCATATAGCCGTAGCTGTAAATAAAACTGTTAAGCTGGAGAACAAACTATTTATATCATAAAAGTATAAAAGATTAAAATATAGTTAAGTAAAGATAAAACTGATTCACTTTAAAATATCTTTTTGCAAAAACAAAATGAATAAGTTTCCAATTTTAAAATTTATTACATATAGACTTTTGAGAAGTGCAAAGATTATTGTGAACTTGCGGGAAAAATCAGACCATTAGTTGAAAACTAACAAATATGGAGTTGTTTCACGTGCCTTGAAATTCATAAAATTCAAGTTGCATTTCTCTAAAATCAGTTTTTATTCTGAGTAATAATCTAAATTTCTCTCTTCAGGGAGTTTTTGACCTGGGACTTTTTTGATTCTACAATTCTTAAATTAAAACTTAATTTCATAAGTTTTGATATTTTAGTTTTATCATTTAATAAACATTAGTAACCAAAGTAACAAACGCTTTTCTTAAAATTAGTAGAAATATAATAAAAATAAAATCAATAGAAATAACTCAAAAATAAATGTAATAAGTTTTTAGCAGTCTCATTTTAATTATTTTTAATTTATACATATAAGATCAACAAGACTATTTGCAGATGTATATTGAACCTGCTACAGAGGTGAAATTCAAATCATGGTAAAATCTTAGTGCTGACGTTAGCATTATTTAGCTGAGATTACAATATAAAAATGGTAAAAAATTCTGTATTCAAAAATAAAGGGAGGTTCAAAAAGGTGTAAAAACGGATAGAAGCAAAGCTAAAATTCTTCTGAAAGTAGTTTTTGTTGATAAAGACCAGCCAGTAGGTATTGAATTGTATATTTCACCAGACTACTGGTTAATTTTGGATATTTGAAATCGTAGTTTGAAAAAATGCCTACTGCAAACTCTGAACCTTGAAAGTACATTTAAAAAATTTTTTTATATATCTTTTCTTGAGGTATTTGTCTTAAGCTAAAAATTTATATGTATGTAAATATTAATTGCACATTTGCAGCATTTAAACGCTAAATTCAAGAAGCAAGAGATGCCACAGATCTCTTGCTTCTGAAGCAATTTGCTTCAGAAGCAAGAGATCTGTGGAATTGATGGATCCAGCATTTTTTGGTGTTGAAGATAGCTAACATTGAGCAAAATCCAAACATTTGTATGTTTATACTAATGTCAAATAGTGATGCTTTTTGAAAAGTTCCATGATTGGAGGTTGACGAAATAATTTTTTTGCTATTCTTAACTAAATTTAAATTCATCGATAAATTTTAAGTATTGTTTTACAATCTCTAAGCATTCAAAAGTTATGACTATATAAAATTTGTAACCCCCACAAATTGAGGGGGGGGGTTAAACCTTATATGGTTATGATTTATGAACTCTGAGAGATATTACTATGAAACCTAAAATTTATCAATGAATATTAAAAAAAGTTAAGAATTTCGAAAAAATTATTTTATCAATTTGTTGCTCTCATGTTTGGGGCAGTGAGGATGAAATTTTAAGGTTTTTTTTGTTTCTTGTCTCCAATCATTGCAATATTTTGCAAAGCATCATTATTTGACGTAAGTATAAACATACAAATGTTTTGACATAAGTATAAACATACAAATTAGGTCTTCTTGGAACGTCTATAATAACCACAGAAAAAATGTGTATATATATATTAGAATCACATTGTGTTTTGATCTAGTTTGGTTTACAACAAAAGATCCTTTAACAAAACAACAAAAGTCCTTTACCCAATCTTTCAAGGAAACCATTTTGGATTTGGATTTGTTTGATTCAAGGTTTCAGTAACAGTATTTTGAAAAAAAAAAATTTAATTAATAAAATGAGGCAAAAATCATAAAGTTTGTTGTATGACTAGAAAAAAGCCTTAATATCAACAAAAAATCACTAGCCAAAGTGTTAATTTCTCTATCTTAATCAGTGTAACATATTTCTAAAATTAATAAGCACAGTGTTTTTATTTTGGTAAACACATTAAGATAACATCGTTGAACAATTTAACTGGATTTGACATCAGAATCTATTTGCAACAATGCTTGGAAATTGCCTTAAATTTAGTCATAAATTATAAAAAGCGTAACTTCAAACAATTGGAGCGAATACTATCAAGAAAAAATAAAAAATAAAAATTTTTTCATATAAGTATGACCTCTACACCATTCATTAGCCACTCCGCATAAAAACTGGTTGTCAAAAAAAAATTATGGGATTGGCTAGTATGTATTGCATGTATGTATTTTTGAATTTTATTTTGTATGTATTATACATTTTTGTATGTATTGTGTATGTATGCATGCATGTATAACCTATATTACATATATGTAAAGCTAACACTTCTATCTAACAATTGCATTATTTTTAAATAAGATTTTTAATGAAGAAATTATTTTTGTTCCTTTTTTAAACCATTTTTTCTAAAATGTTTTATTAATAGAAAGTTTTAATTTATTTAATTTAAACTATTAAAATAAAAGTATATAAATTTAAGTCAATCTATTTTCATTATTAACACAGTTTAAGAATAAACAAGACATTTTTTTGACTTATAATTTGTTTTAAACATCAAGTTAAATGGTTCTTAAATTAGATCAATTAAAAAACAACTTTAAAGAATTAATTACTTAGTTACAAAACTACATATGCCTTAGTTACAAATTACATAAGCCAAACTGTAATAAAAGCTGTTTTCATTTTTTAAAAAGCATTTTATTATTTTCACCTTGTTTCAAAAGTATTTTGAAAAAATTTTTTTTCAAATACTTTTGAAACAAGGTGAAAATAATAAAATGCTTTTTAAAGACTTGTTTCATGACTATATACTTTTGAAAAAAAAAATTTTCAAAAGTATATAGTCATGAAAATTATATTCTAAATAAAAATATTAAAATTAAAGTAAATTAAAAGGTTATATAAAGGTTTTTACCATATTATTCAACATTATTTTTTCCTTAAATTATTATAATTATTATTTCCTTTATGAATAAATACAATATCTAGGTATTTATGAGAGTTTACAAAAACCCACAAAAGATTTTATTAACTGACTTGATTTTATGTGCAGAACTTGCAGCTTACGCAAGAGATTTTGTACTATAGGTCTGACTAAAAACAATTCTTGAAGAGGATGATCATTTGATTTGGTAATTTTTTTGATTAATCTAATGGTTGCTGTACGTTTCTCTATGGTCAAAAGTTTCATGAGCTAAGAGATATGGCAAAACACGGGCCAAGCATAAGCCATATGCAAAAAGACTAAAGCAAGATTTTCCATATTAAATAAGGAAGAATACTAAATGATGCCAGGCGATAGCAGTTGTTCAAATGCAACATTTACTCATATTACAGTGCAACCCTTATTCAAACTAGTTGGTCCCACTGAGAAGTTTGAGTTAGGGTTGGGTTTCTAACTTACTGTCTGCAACAAATATTGACAAACCCTAAGAACCTTCTAATTAGAATTTAATCAATTGAATTTTTGCGTCTTTAACATGCATTTTTTAGAAGGTCTTTATACAATTTTATTTTGTTATTAAGTGTATTTTTGTTATTAGTAATAGTTGAAGCTGTTATATATACAATAGGAGTATGGCTAAAAGGAACATTTCATTTTCTTGGAATAAGTATAGCAGCGAAAGATGAACTTTTACTTTTAACGTAATAAGATGAACTTTTACTTTTAACATAACAATATTTTTTCCCAAATCAAAAAAAACTCTCCTTTTTTTTTGAAAACATTCCCCATTTTTTTGAAAAAACAACCACAATGAAAAAATGCTACTTTGTTGTATTCTCTTAGCACTATGCACTGGTACAACAATACATATGATGGAAACTTTTATTTCTCTATCCAATAAATCTTATTTCAAGTCTAATGGATGTATGAAACAAAATTTACAAGGTTTTGAAGTATAGATAATTTGAATTTGTTTAAGATTTAAAAATTTTAGTGGGATTCCCTTTGATGCTGTAGGGTTCAAGTAGAGCCAGTAAATA